CAGTTGCCAAGCGCCCGAATTTGGCTCATGTAACCATAGGGTCGTAATTGTGAAAAATGGCCATAAGTGACTTTTTTTCAGTGCTTTTGAAACTTCAAACAGTCACTAAGCGAAAGGTCGGAAGTTGAGGACGTCTTGATGTGTGCTCAAGTTATCAATTCTTAGGGCTCCAGTAGATCAGGATCTCCAGGAGAATCGGTCCTTTAGATCTGTTCCTTTATATTTTCCAACTGTGTGTCCATCACTACTATAACAGCATTCGTCCCTCCGGCTGCTGGTCATCCTCTTCTCTTCCCTTCCCTTCCTCTTTTCCTTTCTTCAGAAATTTCCTTCATAATTTTTTTTAAAAAATTTGATTTATATGCCGCCCTTCTCCAGAGACTCAGGGTGGCTTACAATGCGTTAAGCAATAGCCTTCATACTTTTATATATTTATACAAAATCAGCTTATTGCCCCCACAATCTGGGTCCTCATTTTACCTACCTTAGAAAAGATGGAAGGCCGAGTCAACCTGGGGAGATTCGAACTTACAGTAATTGCAGACAGCTGGGGTTAATCACTATGCTTTCAGTCTGCTGAGCCACCAGGCTCAGCAGACTGAAATGACTTTTGATGACTTTTGATGAATTAAATGACTTTTGATGAATTAAATTAATGACAAATTAATGACATTAAATTCATTAATTTAATTTCTTATTCATTTATTTATTATTTATTAATTTAATTTGTATACCGCCCTTCTCCCAGAAGGGATTCAGGGCGGTGAACAGCCAAGATTAAGAAACATACAAATACACAAGTTAAGATAATTAAAAAGAATTAAATCATTAGGTTCCCAATTTAAAGCCCCCAAGTCCATAAAATTTAAAAATTTAATGAATTAAATTAATGATAAAATTAATGACATTAACCCGTGGAACAGCTTGCCACCAGAAGTTGTAGGTGCTTCAATCACTGGAGGCTTTTAAGAAAAGACTGGAGAGTCACTTGTCTGAAAGGGTATCGGTTCTCCTGACTGAGCAGGGGGTTGGACTAGATGACCTCTAGGGTCCCTTCCAGCTCTTTTCTGATTCTGATTCTTTCATGCGCACGCACGCACACACACACACACACACACACAAAACACATGAGCTTCTGTGGTGCAGTGGTGTATGTATGTATATATTCATATATATTCATATATATTCATATATTCGAACTGGGTCCCCATCCAGATAATCAAATAGTAAATTTATAAATTGTGCCATGCTGCCACCTAGTGCCTAGGCCAAGTAATGCTGGCTGCAGGGAAAAAAAAATCTTACTAAGAGATTCATTAAAGTTAAACCAAGATTCCCGCTGGGTCAGCTGGTAGCCTTTGATAGTCCCACTCTATGACCAGCGGCCATTGTGGGGGACGTTCTCCAGGGCAGCCAGCTTTGGGCTGCAAAATCCTCAATGACCAAGGACGAAAATCACTCTTGGCAGCTCAGATTTCCCATCTTCTCCTTGTCCCCCCAAGGCCAACAGGGCTGCACTCTCAAACTGTGCCCCCCCTCCCACCCCCCCCCAAATATCTGACCTCTCTCTGTTTTACCTGGGCAGCTCCTAAAGACCCTTCTGGGCAGAACCTCCGCCTAGTCCCATCTCCTACGGCAGCGTTTTTCAATCTTGGCCTCTTGAAGCCGGTCGGGACTTCAACTCCCAGAATCCCCCAGAATTCCACCTTTGACTCTGCTTGTCAAAAGGCAGCTGGGAAGGATAGAGATTCTTCCTCCTCTTCCTCTTCTCCTCTTCCTCCTCCTCCTCCAGTCCTCTCCCTTCCTCCACCTCCCCTTCCCCCTTCCTCCTCCTCCTCCCCTCCTCTCCCTTCCTCACCCCTTCCTCCTCCTCCTCCCCCTCCTCCCTCTTCCTCTTCCTCTTCCACCTCCCCTTCCTCCTTCTCCTCCTCGTCCTCCCCTCCTCCTCCTCCCACCTCCTCTTCCTCCTCCCTCTTCCTCCTCCTCCATCCTTTCTCCTGTCCTCTCCCTCCCTCCTCCTCCCCCTTCCCCCTTCCCCCTTACTCCTCCTCCTCTTCCTCACCTCCTCTCCCTTCCTCCTCCCTTCCTCCTCTTCCTCCCTCCTCCCACCTCCTCCCTTTTCCTCTCCTCTTCCTCCTCCTCCCTCTTCCTTCCCACTTCCTCTTCCTCCTCGCTCTTCCTCCTCCCTCCTCTTCCTCCTGTCCTCTCCCTTCCTCCTCCTCCTCGTCCTCACCTCCTCTCCCTTCCTCCTCCTCCTCCCCTTCCTCCTCCTCCTACCTCCTCCTCTTCCTCCCACCTCCTCCTCTTCCTCCCTCTTCCTCCTCCCTCCTCTTCCCCTCCCTCTTCTCCTCTTCCTCCCCCTCCTCCCCCTCCTCCCTCTTCCTCTTCCTCTTCCACCTCCCCTTCGTCCTTCTCCTCCTCGTCCTCCCCTCCTCCTCCTCCCACCTCCTCTTCCTCCTCCCTCCTCTTCCTCCCCTCTTCCTCCTCCCTCTTCCTCCCCCTTCCCCCATACTCCTCTTCCTCCCTTCCTCTTCCCCCTCCCTTTCCCTTCCTCCTCCTCTTCCTCAACTCCTCTCCCTTCCTCCTCCTCCCACCTCCTCCCTCTTCCTCCCCTCTTCCTCCTCCTCCTCCTCCCATCTAGCACTGATAATGTTACCTTGTAGGGTCATTTAACAACCGAATACAAAGAGCACTAAGGACCCTGAGCTGCAGATGTCCCCTTCTCTCAGGAGTTTGGGGTCTAGGCAGGGACAGAGGGGGGTGTGGGGAGGGGGGAATCCGGGGGACAGATGCTCCAAGCGAGCCTCTGACTCAGTCTGGAGAGAAATGTCAAGGTCCCGAAGAGCATCAAAGAAGGGTCCCTCCCAGGGCTGAGGGGTGGGTCCCAGGCAGGTTCTCCCCCACGTTTGGAGGGCAGGGGGTGGGTCAGGAGGAAGACAAAAGGGGGCATAAATCCAGCTGGAAAGAAAGGCCTCGCACCCATCGCTGGACCTCCACACACACACACACACCGCCTCCCGACACGTGCCGCCTGCTGCCCTGTCTGCCCGGATCAGCATGGCGCCCCCGGCCCTTCTTTTGTGAGACCCTCTGCAGCAGCTGAGCCATCAGAGCTGGGCTGGGAGGGGCACCTGCCGGCTCCCCATTGCCATCCTTGGACCCCAAACAGATGTGAGCCCAGCACCCCCCCTACCCCCACCCCGAGGATGCCCCACTGACATTTGGCAGCTGAAGATGGGAAGGAGAGCGCCCCATCCCACCACCTCCTCCCTCCCTCCCTCCTCCTCCTCCACCTCCTCTTCCTCCTCCATTGTCTTTTTCCCTCCTCCTTCTCTTCCTCCTCCTCATCCCACTTTCCCTCTCCTCTTTCTCTTCCTCTTCCTCCGCCCTCTTTCTCCCTCCTCCTCTTCCTCCCCATTGTCTTTTTCCCTCCTCCTTCTCTTCTTCCTCCTCATCCCACTTTCCCTCTCCTCTTCCTCTTCCTCCTCTTCTTCCTCCTCCCTCTTTCTCCCTCCTCCTCTTCCTCCCCCATTGTCTTTTCCCTCCTCCTTCTCTTCCTCCTCCTCATCCCTCTTTCCCTCTCCTCTTCCTCCTCCTCTTCCTCCTCCCTCTTTCTCCCTCCTCCTCTTCCTCCCCATTGTCTTTTTCCCTCCTCCTTCTCTTCCTCCTCCTCTTCCTCCTCCTTTTCCTCCCTCCTCCTCTTCCTCCCCATTGTCTTTTTCCCTCCTCCTTCTCTTCTTCCTCCTCATCCCTCTTTCCCTCTCCTCTTCCTCTTCCTCCTCTTCCTCCTCTTCCTCCTCCCTCTTTCTCCCTCCTCTTCTTCCTTCCCCATTGTCTTTTTCCCTCCTCCTTCTCTTCCTCCTCCTCCTCCCTCTTTCCCTCTCCTCTTCCTCTTCCTCCTCTTCCTCCTCTTCCTCCTCCCTCTTTCTCCCTCCTCTTCTTCCTTCCCCATTGTCTTTTTCCCTCCTCCTTCTCTTCCTCCTCCTCCTCCCTCTTTCCCTCTCCTCTTCCTCTTCCTCCTCTTCCTCCTCTTCCTCCTCCCTCTTTCTCCCTCCTCCTCTTCCTTCCCCATTGTCTTTTTCCCTCCTCCTTCTCTTCCTCCTCCTCCTCCCTCTTTCCCTCTCCTCTTCCTCTTCCTCCTCTTCCTCCTCTTCCTCCTCCCTCTTTCTCCCTCCTCTTCTTCCTTCCCCATTGTCTTTTTTCCTCCTCCTTCTCTTCCTCCTCCTCCTCCCTCTTTCCCTCTCCTCTTCAAGCTTGCTTGAAAAAATAGGTTTTAAGGGCATGGCGGAAGGCACAGAGGTCTTGAATTCTCCTTATCTCTGGGGGCAGCTGATTCCAGAGGGTAGGTGCCCCCACAGAGAAGGCCCTCCCCCTGGGGGTCACCAGCCTGCACTGTTTGGCTGATGGCACCCCGAGGAGGCCCTCTCTGTGGGAGCGCACGGGTCGATGGGAGGCCGTCGGTAGCAGCAGGCGGTCTCGAAGATAGCTAGGCCCTATGCCATGGAGCGCTTTAAAGGTGATAACCAACACCTTGAAGCGCACCCGGAAGACCACTGGGAGCCAGTGCAGCTCACGCAGGAGAGGTGTTGTATGGGAGCGCCATGCGGCTCCTGTGACTACCCGCGCGGCCGCATTCTGGACCAGGTGGAGCCTCCGGGTGCTCCTCAAGGGGAGCCCCATGTAGAGAGTGTTGCAGTAGTCAAGGCGAGAGGTGATGAGGGCGTGAGTGACTGTGCACAGGGAATCCCGATCAAGAAAGGGCCGCAACTGGCGGATCAGGCGAACCTGACAAAAGGTCCCCCTGGTTACAGCCGTCAGATGTTCCTCCAAGAACAGCTGCATATCCAGGAGGACTCCCAGATTGCGCGCCCTCTCCACGGGGGCCAAAGACTCGCCCCCAATAGTCAGTGATGAGCAGAAGAGTGCGCGCGCCCATGAGCAAAGCAAATGCAGGTGCGTAGCTCCGCTGCAAACCGATAGTAAAGGTAAGTAGAACTCACCCCTGGTATACGGTCTCCCACCTCCAAGGTCCCTTCCAACTGTTACAGGGAGTCCACAAGTTTCTTTGTACATTCCTACCAAACGTGGGTCGCTCCCACTGATCCCTCCCATGCGTGGTCCTGATTTCTGTGGCTGTGAGAGAGTCCATTGTGACCTCACTGCCCACCAGTGTCCTGGGTGGCAAGATAGAATGCCGGACTCTGCACTCCGTTCCCACTCAAAACAAGAGGTCGGTGGACTTAAACCATCAGCTGTTGTTGTGGTCCGCCAGCAGCCTGCGGTGCTGGCAGCGGAGTCGGACAGTAAGGAGGCTGGGGAGGAACATGGGCCAGTTCTGGAGTCAGGGGAAGGTCCGGACGAGGGCTCTTTGTCGGAGGCAGAGATGGGGCCAGGGCCATCTGGGAGCGATGCGCGGACTCCGGCGCCTCCAGAGTCGGACATCAGAGAGGAACAGGAGGAGCCTGTTCCTAGTGCACGCATGCGCAGAGCTGCCAGAAGGCAAGAGCAGCTAAAGCAAAAGGGACGACTCAGGAGTAAGGCCAGGAGATGATTGGCCCCTCTCATAAGGCTTAAAAGAGAAACAACGGCACTTGGGGCCTTTTGCAGGAAAGCAACGTTGCCAACTCTGTTTCCCATCGGCATCTCTTGTTTGTTTCCGAACTTCGTGGGGCTTTGCCACGTAAGGCCTTTGGCACGGTGTCAAAGGAGATAAAATGTTGGTGATTATTCCGAAGGACTTGTTTTGCAACTAACTGGGACTCGGCTGGGAATGAACGTAATCCTCAGCTGTTACAATAAAATAGGTTTGTTTGGGACTAATTGTGTCTTGTAAATGACTCAGTAAACTTAAGTCACCACAACAAAGGCAAAGGGAACTGAGCAACCTGGGCTCGTAAACCTCATAAGCTGACGCATCTCAGATAAAGCTCAAAAACCAACTTCCAGGATTTAAATCTGGCTCAAAAGGCACATTCCGTAGGGATGGTTGCCTGTCTGGGTTGCGAAGAGAGCGAACGTACGCGAGGGAGTGTGGAGTTTTGCTTGCCCTGGCAGTGTTGATCAGAGTGTGTTTTCTTTCCTTGGTACTTCCTTGATTAGGGTGCTGTCTTCGGCTCGATGGTTTGTCTGGTGTTAATCCTCGCTTATCTGGCTTTCTCTTTCTGCACAGTCCTTGATGTGGTCTGAGATTGGCTGTTCCCTTGCAAACATTTTACGACCTAACTAGGTAACGTCATCAGTGCTAGAAGGGAGTGGGCTTGGTGGAGGAGGAATAGAATAGAATAGAATGGAATGGAATGGAATGCAATGGGGGAGGAAGAGGAGGAGGGAGAAAGAGGGAGGAGGAAGAGGAGGAGGAAGAGGAAAAGTAGAGGGAAAGAGGGAGGAGAAGGAGGAAGAGGAGGAGGAGGGAAAAAGAATGGGGGAGGAAGAGGAGGAGGGAGAAAGAGGGAGGAGGAAGAGGAGTAGGAAGAGGAAGAGGAGAGGGAAAGAGGGAGGAGGAGGAGGAAGAGAAGGAGGAGGGAAAAAGACAATGGAGGAGGAAGAGGAGGAGGGAGAAAGAGGGAGGAGGAAGAGGAGTAGGAAGAGGAAGAGGAGAGGGAAAGAGGGAGGAGGAGGAGGAAGAGAAGGAGGAGGGAAAAAGACAATGGGGGAGGAAGAGGAGGAGGGAGAAAGAGGGAGGAGGAAGAGGAGGAGGAAGAGGAAGAGGAGAGGGAAAGAGGGAGGAGGAGGAGGAAGAGAAGGAGGAGGGAAAAAGACAATGGGGGAGGAAGAGGAGGAGGGAGAAAGAGGGAGGAGGAAGAGGAGGAGGAAGAGGAGAGGGAAAGAGGGAGGAGGAGGAGGAGGAAAAGAAGGAGGAGGGAAAAAGACAATGGAGGAGGAAGTGGAAGAGGAGGTGGAAGAAGAGGAGGGAGGGAGGGAGGGAAGCAGTGGGATGAATCCCTCTCCTTCCCATCCTCAGCTGCCAAATGTCGCTGTTCCATCCTCTGGGTGGGGGGCGCTGGGCTCACATCTGTTCAGGGTCCGGGCACGGCAATGGGGGGCCGGCAGTTGTCCCTCCCAGGCCAGCTCCGATCGGCCAGTCGGCAACTCAGCTGCTGGTGATCATTAGGACGTTTGGGGAGGGTCTCACAAAAGAAGGGCTGGGGGCGCCATGCTGATCCGGGCAGACAGGGCAGCAGGCGGCACGTGTCGGGGAGCGGGGAAGGGAAGGCCCAGCGACAGGAGGGAGGCCTTTCCAGTTGGATTTATGCCCTCTTTTGTCTTCCTCCGGACGACCCCTCTTGCCCTCCGGAGCCCAAACCATTGAGGACCCACCACTCAGCCCTGGGAATGTCCTTTTGTGCTCCTTGAGACCTTCAAATTAATCTCCAGACTGAATCGGAGGCTTGGAGCATCTGTCCCCCCGTTTCCCCCCACCTCTGCCCCTGCTTAGACCCCGATCTTCGGGGGTCTTCGCACCTCCAGATCGTCCTGTGGAGCATAACACATCACGGACATAAGGGAACACTTAGTAGCTCAGGGTTCAACCGGGGAGGGGGCTCCTTGGTGCTCTCTGAGTTTGGTTATTTTCTTGCAGACCTTTCATGACCCAGCTAGGTAACATCATCAGGGTTAGAAGGGAGGGGGGAGTTGCTCTTTGTTTATATACAAGGGGCTTGTCCTGAATTTTCCCCGATCATAGCAACAGCAACAGCATTTAGAGTTATATATAGCTTTTTAATAATGCTTTGCAGCCCTCTCTGAGCGGTTTACAATCAGCTTCTTTCCCCTCCAACAATCTCAGTCCTTATTTTACTGACTTGGGAAGGTTGGAAGGCTGAGTCAACCTTCAGCCAGTCAGGATCGAACTCCTGGCATTCTGATGATAGACAGGTAGACAGGCATAGATAGAGATAGAGATAGAAGATGATAGACAGACAGACACTGGTTGATAGATAGAGATAGATAGATAGATAGATAGATAGATAGATAGATAGATAGATAGATAGATAGATAGATAGATGATAGATAGATAGATAGATGGAGAGATGGATAGATAGATAGAGATAGATGATAGATCAATAGATAGATAGATAATAGATAGATAGATATAGATAGAGAATGAGAGAGAGAGATGATAGATAGATAGATAGATATAGATTAGATTAGATTAGATAGACAGATAGAGATAAATAAAGATAGATAGATAGATAGATAGATAGATAGATAGATATAGATAGAATGAGAGAGAGAGAGAGATGATAGATAGATAGATAAATAGATAGATGGATAGATTAGATTAGATAGACAGATAGAGATAGATAAAGATAGATAGATAGATAGATAGATAGATAGATAGATAGATAGATAGATGATAGAGAATGATAGAGAGAGAGAGGGAGAGATAGATAGATGATAGATAGATAAATAGATTAGATTAGATAGACAGATAGAGATAGATAAGGATAGATAGATAGATAGATAGATAGATAGATAGATAGATAGATAGATAGATAGATAGATAGATAGATGATAGAGAATGATAGAGAGAGAGGGGGAGAGATAGATAGATGATAGATAGATAAATAGATTAGATTAGATAGACAGATAGAGATAGATAAGGATAGATAGATAGATAGATAGATAGATAGATAGATAGATAGATAGAGAATGATAGAGAGATGATAGATAGATAGATAGATAGATAGATAGATAGATAGATAGATAGATAGATAGATAGATAATAGGTAGATAGATAGATAGATAGATAGATAGATAGATAGATAATAGATAGAGAATGATAGAGATAGATAGATTAGATTAGATAGACAGATAGAGATAAAGATAGATAGATAGATAGAGAATGATAGAGAATGATAGAGAGAGAAAGAGAGAGAGAGATGATAGATAGATAGATAGATAGATAGATAGATAGATAGATAGATAGATAGATAGATAGATAGACGGACAGACAGACAGACAGACAGACACACATATATATGTGCCCAGTTCCTGCAACCGTTCATTGTATGTTTCAGCCTCCAGTCCCCTCATCATCCTGGCTGCTCTTCTCTGCACTCTTTCCAGAGTCTCAACATCTTTTTTTTATATCGTGGTGACCAAAACTATAACAATGGATCTTGGAAACCCCCCACCCCCCACCTCCCCAAAGCCGAATGGATCCACCCAGTGCAGATTCTGATCAGCAGAACGCCATTTTCTATCATACAAGCTGAAAGCTATGTTTTAAAATATATACCCACATCTTACCTGGTTGGGTTGCTGCATCCTTTATTCTGCGCAGGGGGCTCCTGGCTTCACCTTTCCTTCTGCAGCCCCCTCCTCCTCCCCCGTTTCTCTTTCGCCATAAGTCACCTTTGTCCTCTTGACACGCTTTCTAGCCCAACCCATATTTTCTTTTTAATCTTTCCCCTCCCATTCTCTCACTTGTTCCATTTTTGAGGGCAAAATCCCCTGGCCTGAAAGACTAAATTGTGGTATTGCTCAAACTTGGCCACGTTAAGACTTGTGGACTTCAACTCCCAGAATTCCCCAGACAGCCTGGCTAGGGAATTCTGGGAGTTGAAGTCCACCGGTCTGAAAATTGCTACGATTTTGACACCTCTAATCTAAGGTTGACACTAACCAACTTGCATAACGTTTTAATTCCTGGGCTGCCTTCTTCTTCTTCTTTTTTTTTTTTACAAAGTTTATTTTCCATTTTTAAAAACAATGCTTTACATATATACATACAAAATTATTGCAACTAACGTATATAAAATTTAATTATTTTAAATCTATTTTTAATCGCACTTTATGTATAAATGTTTTATTTTGGCTGTTCACCGCCCTGAGTCCGAAAGGAGAAGGGCGGTATAGAAATTTGAATAATAATAATAAATAAATAAATAAATAAATAAATAAATAAATAAATAAATATGCGCCTATACCACTAATGAAATCCGTTTCATTTCCCTCCCTTTCCTTTCACCCAAATATACCATAAATTCCAACATTCATAATCATCAGAATCTTTTTGGTTCCTAAATAATTTCGTTAACTGATCTGCCTCTGCGCATTCTGTAATTTTCCAAATCAATTTATTCTCTGTGGGTATTAATTCGTTTTTCCATTCTTGCGCGTATAATATCCTA